ACCAAACAATCCTTTTTTATTTTACACCTTATATTTCTTATTTAATTTTACTATTCTCCTCTTTAATAAAGCTTCGTTGGTACGTTAATTCTGGTTTATCCTGCTACAGTTGGTGAAATTTTCATTTTCCAAAAAACTGTCAGAGAACTGTGTTTTAAAAATTAAAAAATTTCGAAACAGTGTCGATGTGATTACGCATGTTACGCAAGCTGTAAAGAACCTATAGAAATATCGCGATCGATAGATTTAAAGTCGTCGCTACTAGACGAGGAGGAGGGAAAGTCGGCTGGATAACAGTCTATGTAGCGAAAAAATTCATTGGCTTTTGTTCCAGAAGCGACACTCAATAACGTGAACCGTTGCAATCAGGATCGCGGCGGCTGCGAACATGTGTGCGAAGACACTCAAACCGGCGTGAAGTGCTCCTGTTTTGACGGATTTCGCGCCAAAGGATCTTCCTGCATAGGTGATTTATATTTCATTTCGAATGCTATAATTGCAAGCATTGTTTGATGCTGATGAATATACGATAGTAGGAAAAAGTGACGCGTGAATGAACCGGTATACTGTTCGATATACTCACTGGTGAAATCTTAGATTTTAGCAACGTAGGTTAACAAGTTAATATTGTTTTTTTTTTTTTGGATAAATTTCATTGGATAAATTTTTAACGTCCCTCTAGGGAAAACTAAGAATTGATGGAAAATATTTTGCTATAGCTTCATTTATGTTTTTTTTCTATTGCCATGCAAGTAGATTATGGCACTTTTGCTGAATTATAGAAAGTAATGTAGGTAACATTAACAATATTAGTAAATTATACTTTTTTTTTTTTAGTGGAAATTAAGAATTGATGGGAAATACTTTGATATAACTTCACTTATTAATTCTTTTTCTCCATTACGATGTAAGTAGATTATGGCACTTTTGTTGAATTATAGAGGGTAATATAGCTAATATTAGCAAATTGTATTAATCTAATTTTTGTCGTTTCTCTATTGCAAACTAAGGATCGATGAAAATTATTTCGATGTAGCTTCATCTATAAATTTTCTCTCCGTTGCGTTGCAAGTAAATTATGACACTTTTCTCGAATCATAGAAAGTAATTCCATTTATTCTGAAATTACTATTGTCAAAAATGATTTTTATTCATTTCATCGAACGTACACAAAGTACCAAGTTACAAACTTTCGAATCGCCATTTTTTAACACCCGGTATATATCATTCGCCGTTCTACGAAGGGCATAAAATACTGTACCGGTAGCAACGACGTCGCGTCAAGAATGACGAGTTAGGTGACAATTTTTACATTCGTCATTTTGAGCGAGCGGTTTTGTAACAGCGTTACGTAAGAATTTCTCTCTCTCTCTCTCTCTCTCTCTCTTTTTTTTAATCAATATTCGTACACCGAAGTAAATCGTCGGATTTGTTGAATCTATACGATCCGAGATTGAGATATACCACGGTTTATGGTTGTCGCGTGGGTGGATAAGGCTGCACAACGGAGGCTTACAATCTTCTATCCCTAAAATCTGCACGGCCATCCCCATACTTCTTCTTACTGCGACTTCGTCGAAATCCGAACGGGGACAGGGGATCTAAAGTTAGAGAGCCGTGTAATTCAACGTGTGAAAAAAAAAACGAATACGCCCTTTGAATGGGGATCTCGTAAATCGCGAGATCTTGCTTTCCTTAAATAAATTCCATAGAACTCGAGCTCTGTGTGCATGCTATCGAACGTTGCACGGAAATTTTCGCAACTCTTTCATACCGCGAGATATTTTCATATTTTAATTGCGAATGGGATTTCTCGTACGGTTATTTTTTTCTTTTAATCTTGAACATTTTCTTTTTGTTATACTGCGTAGGTCACTTCTGGTAACAGAGACGCATTTCCAATGGAAGAAATAATTTTTCATTTATAATACATTAGTCTATACATTTGATGAATGAAAAATCATCTCAGAAAGTCTTCCTTAAATTAATCACGTCAATAATACTACTGTCTCTTGAAAATCAGTGTTAAGATAAAAAAAAAAGTTTCCAATTAAACGTGCATTGAATTCCTTCCAAAAACCGCTAAATAAGAGATAAGGACAACAAAATTCTATATCAAATCCTCAAGCCAATCATACCGATAGTACCACTTTCACTGAAAAATCAATGCTCACGATGAAGAAACAGGTTTCCTAAGAAACTCTAATCTGCATATTAAATTCCTTCCAAAAACCACTAAAAATGAAATAAGCAAAACAAAAGTCCACAAAAAATTCTCAAATGTAAGGAATGCGAGATTTAAGCGGTGAAGTGGTGGCCTGGACTTCGTCACCCAGGGTCACCGGAAGAGAAAGCGCGCGGATACCTGAGGGTGTCATAAACTAAGCCCTTTTCCAGGACATTCGGACTAGGAGGCTCTAACGGTTTTTAGTAACGCAGGATAGGACGCGGGAGAGGGCACTTTCGTTATAGCCGAGCCATCTTAGTCACTGCGGATATTCTAAAATATAATACGTTTTGGTTAACAGCCTACACTGTGTTCTGTTTTTTAAAGAGTGTACCTACACAAACCAATCTTACTACTTTCACTTAAAAATCAGTGCTCACGATGAAAAAACAGGTTTCCAATGAAACAAATCATTCTCCACTCTAATCCAATCCTCGCATTAACTCCTTCAAAAACTCAACCAAAAAAAAAAAAAAAAGGAAGAAAAATCCCACGGAAAATACTACTATAGATCACAGTCGTGCAAACAGGTACCTAATGCTTCCGAATTCACATCCATAACCATTCACATAAACTGTCACGAAGGAGCAATCGGCGTCCGTCAATCGTCGACTAATAGTTCTCGTCCGATTCGGGGCGGTCGCCGGCCGCCGCCTAGTAGAGCCGGTGCATAAATCACCGGGCACTTTCGCGTCGATTAGTCAACTTAACAGGCGACGGCGGCGGTAGACGCGTGGTCTGGACAAGGGTGTAGGTGCCCGGTTCCCCATTGTATGCTAATCGTCGTCGGCATCTCCGTGAAAACGAGCCCGCGAACACGAGCGCGACTTCGAATCCGAAGCGTGTTTCAAGTGCAACCGAGCTCTCTCGTTTCTCCGGTTGTTGTCTCTGCGTGCTGGAATCCGTGTCGCCGTTGCTAATCTCGCGTCTATAATTCACGTTCGCGTGGTCACGCGAGAGGTATCGCGCGTAAGTCGAACGCTCGCGCGGAATTGTCGGGCGTTTTACGCAACCGAAACTTGTCTAATGAGTCGGCGTGACGTAATGACGCGGGAAAACGCGGGGCGAGGCGGGAACGCTGAGGAGGAACGTGAATAAAGTGAAATACGTTTACTCTCGGTAATACTCGGAAACTTGGATCAGACGACTTGAGTTTCTTTTTGCTTAGAAGCTAGGATTAGCGTAGGTACCAGGTGGCGTGTACAAAAATTTGGAAAAATTGCAATTTGTGGAAATCGCGAAGGAAATTGTAAAGGTCGCTTTTTACAACTTTCTTATCCGAGTCTGTTTGGAAGTGACGTGGTGTAAAAGTAATTATTACACTAAGGTTGCTTAACACAAGTATATTTATTTAAATCAGATAACGCTTAAACTATTTTTAAAGGGTAGGCGACACGATGCATGTGGTAAGAATGTCCACGACAAAAAGCCTCGTGCCTTTTTCGGGGCTCCCTTAAGTAGCCCCTTTTTCCCTGGGAAAGTCCCAGGAAGTGTCCTCGAGGACGAAGAAACCCGAAGATGTTTGGAAAACATCTCTCGACTATTCGCCTCGAGGGCCAAGAGTCGCCAGGCCTAGGTACGTAGGCCTTCCGTGGCGGTCGCCACATCTGTAATGAAAATTTACAAAATACGTTTTGTAGATTTATGTCAATTATGTACAAAATGAAGTATGTAAAATTATTTATTATTGATACAGTGCACAAACCGCTCTAAGATTCGTGTGCCCAAAGCTGTGTGGACTAATATACCCAGGCCTAGGTACGTAGGCCTTCCGTGGCGGTCGCCACATCTGTAATGAAAATTTACAAAATATATACGTAGATTTATGTCAATTATGTACAAAATGAAGTATGTAAAATTATTTATTATTGATACAGTGCATAAACCGCTCTAAGATTCGTGTGCCCAAAGCTGTGTGGACTAAGTGTGTCCGTTTTATCTGGAAACCTTTGAAGATATGAAAACATTATTATTGCGAAATTTGTTTGATATAGAGGGGAACATTATGTGCTTTAAAAATAATTTTTTTTTATGAAGTTGCAGAGAACTTTGAACGTCAAATTAATTTTTTTCAATGGGATACTACACCTCTTTATTCATAATATGACAGCATTTGTTAAGATCGTTCATAGGATCACTTTTAATGAAAGAAGAGTTTTTCTGAAAAAATTTGAAGATCCAGTTTGTCTTATTTGAAAATTCTGGCTTTTGTTTGGAAAATGGAGTGATTGAAAACTTCTAGTCGACAGTGTATGGTGATCAGGAAGTTGGATGGAATGGGATTATGTTGTTCGTAGGGAGAACGGGAGTAGAGAATGTTGTTAATGTAATGTAAAATAAAGTTCAGGGGAAAATGCATACTGAAAAGGGAGTTGGAAATGATATTTTTGATATTCTATATTCTTCAAATAAGAGAAAATATAGAAAAGCTACGTTAATATTGCTTATACAATCTTTGAGCACAGTTAACTAATTGAATACAACATTTACTGAACTAGACAGCGAAGTTCAGAGGTATATTAAAATTAACTTCAGTCGAAACACTGTACCACTCTTAATTCTCATTTTTTACTCATAAAAAATTTATATAAAAATTTCAACGAACTAAAAAATTTTAAAAAATTTGTTTTAAAAGATCTTGTTACGCAGGAAAATATCTTTCGTATTCTCCATGAATTTTCAAAATGCGTTAAAAATTGATATACGACGATTGTTCGATATTGTAACTAACAATGAGAGACGAAAGGAGGACAAAGGAAAGCTGAAACGTTACGTTTTTACAGCGAAAAATCGCGAAATGCGGTTGATTTCCCGTGAAACATAAATTTGGATCGAAGACAAGAACATACTGCGACCGATTGAACGCGACGTTGTAAATAATAATTGTTTCATCGTTGATTTTTCATAGACGTAGACGAATGTGCCGAAGGTACAGCTGGTTGCGCTGGAATTTGTCACAACGATCCTGGTTCCTTCCATTGTGAGTGCCATCCTGGTTATCAATTGGGAACTGATGGTAAATCGTGCTTGGGTAAGTTGCAAAATTATGGTCGTTCTGTATTAACAACGACAAATCACTTCAATTTAGATTTGTTTAATTATTCGATGCAAACGATACGAGTGAAACAATAATTGATGACAGTGAAGTATATGATTAATTCAAATATATTAAAGTATACGAAAATTCAGTAGAGTTATCGTTAATAAATTATTTTATTTTTTTAACGATCTATTTCAGTAAAACAATGATTATCAAAATATATAGCAACGAAAGTTCGATTATACTTTATACATCTATGGACATTCGATCAAAAAACAAATTTCTTTCAGTAATTTCAATTAATTTCAAAATATAAAATCATTTCATGTTTACACTCTCGTATTTTTCTTCTCGTTTAAATTTCCTTCGTAAAAAAAAATGCACATAAATATCACGAACTCAGTAGAACTATTATCGATAAATTATTATTTCACCTCTTTAGTTACTTGTTTTAGTAAAATAACGATGATCAAAGCATACAATCACGCACTTAAAAATATAAACTCGTTTCACATTTACATTCTCATATTTCCCCTCTCTGTGCAAATTATAATTGCATTTAAAAATATCCTTCGCAAAAAAGGAAGGAAATAAAAAAGTTCCATCGTTAAAAACATGTCAGTAGCAGAAAGTAAACAGGCTGAATTATTCCGTGCTCGATTAATTTTCAACCGGGTTCGGCCAGAAATACATACATATTCGTCTGAGAGGAGACGAAAGTACTCTCTGCTCGAGGAATGCAGAAATCATTTTCGGTTTCTAGCCGCAATCCTGATTTTTATTTCTCTCTATCTCTCTCTTCCCTCTCTGTGAAATAGCACTCGATCCACGAGGCAAACGTAAATCAGTCTGCGTTTACGACTAGATCAAATCTCTCGAGTTCCTTCTTCTTTCTCCGCCCGCGCTTTTACCATCAAAGACACTTGGCGTGGAATCGAAACGTCAGGGTCGAACGGCGGGAAAATTATATGTTCCACTACTTGCGGTTAATTCGTAATGGTTTCGCATTCGACGAGATATTACGAAATACCGCTGGTCTCGATATCGAGGACACTTTTTTCTTCCCCGCGCTCTTTGTATAAGCAAAACTTTTTTCTCACTTTTGCGTGGAAGTCGGATCGATTCGCGTCGGAGCGCTCGAGGGTATATCTTAATAGGGGAATTTTACGGTAAATAAAAATGATAATACTGCTTCAGGAATTTGTTGGACGGTTCGTGGATTTATCAGCTTTCGAATGGGTTGAATGATTGTACAGTGTGAAATGATGTGTTTCAATTTTTGTAGAATATAGGTAAATAGAAGATATTTCTGTGATGAAGGAACATTGATTTGAAACGAACGCGGTGATTCTTGGAAATATTTGTAGGATAGATATTAAACGTGAATAAATTATAAGTGCTAAATGTTACCTTGATGCAAAATAGTACGCTGCAGATTATCGGTTGCTAATTGATCTGAGTGGATTAGTGGGGCGATTATTGTCGTAGTTGTGATAAAGGGATTAGAGAACATGCGTGACGTCAAGGAGAAGTTTCTAATAGAGGATTCATATTAATTTGCATTTAGTGTACGATAAAATATCTTTGAGAGTACACTGTTATGGTCCAAACAGTGTTATTAGTAATATTAATTATTGTTAATGATATTTATTAACAGTTTATAAAATTGTGGTTTTATTATCTATATTATTAATAAAATATCACCAAGAGTAGACTATATTTATAGTAAAATACCTCCAAGAGAACGTTATTATTCAAACAATATTATTAGTAATATTAATAATTGTCAAAAATATTATCAACAATTTTTAAAATTTAAATACTATCATCTATATCATAATAAATAATAAAATAC